ACCTTCCCAAGAACACATCTCAATGGACCCTCCCCACAGCACGCAACCTGGAAGATTAAACACTGCCAAGCCCTGGGATGGACATCAGGGCCTCTTCCTGGAGCCCAGAACTGGAACAGAGGGCCATTGGGACAATCCTGACAAGTGTCCTGAGCCTCTCCTCCCACCCCAGCCCATGCTAGGGCTCAAGGCTCCTGGCCTCGACCCCTCCCAATTATGGCCCTTCAGCTGCCCTGCACCTCTCTATTTTACCGTTGCTACCTCTGTCTGCCAGAGGTTGCTTTCTACCCAGTTTCATCCTCAGAGCTCAAAACCAAGTCCCTGCATGTAAAGGAATCCTGACGGAAGCAGGACCCAGCTGCAGGGCCTCAGCCTAGGCCAGGAGCTGTATCCTAGAAACCTTGTGGCTGCAGCTCTGCTTGGGCCTTCTGACTGCCACCCGCCACCCTGCCACCAGTCCTTACTAGGAAAAGACCTGGATGTCAAGGCCACTATCTGACCCTGAGCAAGATATATCCCTGACCATCCTCCTGCCCAATGCCAAGGCCGTGAGCCCACTTCTTCAGACTTCCCCCTGCCCCCCCCCCTTTCTCTACAGGCTCCTTCTCAGCAGCTTAGCCTCAGCCAACTCCACCCACCTTTAATCCCAGGCTCCTCCCACTGCTGTACTCACTTCAGAAATGTCTTTCTTTGTCTCCCCTACACTGGGTCTGGGATGTGAAACCAAACATCACTTCTCCTGCCTCATCCCACTTGACCCGCCCATGGCCTTTAGACAGGCTACCACCTCCACTTTCTCTTTCCTGAACTCCTCAGTGGTAAACTCAACACCATCTTTGACCTGTCCCTTCTTGGCCTCCCTCCCAGCTCCTCTGCTACACCCACCCCATGAACATGACCACACCCGTGACCACACCCACCACCTGCTAGTTCCCACATCAGCCTTCAGCCCTTCCTCGCCTTCATGCATATTTTCCACCCCTTGATGTCACTGACACCCCCCGGATCATCACCCAAGCCTCTCCATGGCTCCAGACCCTGAACTGCAGACACTTCCATGTCCCAGGTTCTGTTCCAGATGCTGGGACACATCAGCAGACAGGACAGCTAGCTCTTGGCCCTCGTGGAGTTTACACTCCAGTGGGGGAAATCCACAGTGAGCAAAAGAGGTAATGTCAGTGGCCAAAAGATCCTTTAGAGAAAATCAAACAGGGCGATGCAGTGGGGAGTTGGAGGGGTGACTGGGGTGGGCTTTAGTTAGGGAAAGTGGTGACATTTCAGCTGTGCTTGAAATGATGGAAAGGTACAGGGAGGAGAAGAGAATTCCAGGGGGAGAAACTGGCAAAGGCCCTGAGGTTAGGCAGTTTCAGCTGTGCAAGGGCCAAAATGAAGGAGGCAAAGCCAGACCCTGAAGGGTGCTGAAGGCCATAGGAAGGAGTCTGGACTGTATTCTAGTGAGAAACCACTGGAAGATGATGAGCAGAGCAATACTGGGATCTGCTTTCCATTAAAACAAAACAACTCTGGGCCTGTTTCATGGGCACCTCCCTTAGGCCACCTTGACCCAAACCTGAAACCCTCCCTCTACCCCCCACCCCAAGTGGCCTGGTCCTATCAATCCAACCTTATAACTTTCCCTGGAGCTTTCCTCCCCCCACTAGCACCCCAACTTTGCCCCAGGCCTCCTCCCTAGTCTCCCTATCTCCAACCCCTGCCCCTCACGCCCCCCCAGTTCAGCCTCTAATACAAAAGCCAGTACAGACCCATCACCATCATTGAAGCCCCCACTGCTCCACACTGCCCCCAACGTAGAACTCAAACTCTGCCTCAGCCCCAGACCCTGGAACAAGCCCAGGTCCCTCCTGTCTGTCTCCCCTCAGCATCCGAGTGCTCCCTCTGCTCTGTGCTCTGCCTCACCTCCCCACACTGCCCACTGGGCTGTCACGTTGGCTCAGCACTTAGTGGCTGTGTGTCTCTAGGTAAAATGACTTGAACTTCTCTGGGCCTGCTCCCTTATACGTAAAATGTAGATAATTATAATGTAGCTTCAAGAATACAGTAAATTATAGTTCATTTGATATGCCTAACCCCAGGGGCAGGCTTCATTATCACCCTCTCCCAGGGTGGGAAGCCCAGACAGAAGTGACTTGCCACCCATCTCACAGATGGGCCTGTACTCACAGGCCTCCAGACCTCCCCATCAGGAGAGTCTGCCCAGACCCCACACTGTCCAAGAGCTGTGCACAGCTGGGGCCACAGGATGCCCAGGGTGGGGGATTGCACAGGCAGCACGTGGGGAGAGGGCAGCGCCTCTGAGGCCTGCCGAACGGAATTGAGTGGGCCTGGCGTTTGGACCAAGGCAGCAGGAGCAGGGAGACTGCGGAGGCAGCAAGCAGCCTTGGAGAGATGAGATGGGGAGGGGGGAGGGAGAGATGACTTGGCAGAGTCCGGGGGCACAGATGCCACCCTGGGAGGGGCATCAGCAGCTCCCTCACCAGGACAGGGACAGCCCCGCCCTGGAGCCTGGGGTTACACAGCTGTGGAATGTAGAATTCTGTTCCCCAGGGCCAGCTCCCAGCCTCTAGATAGGGGAGGTCGTCCCCCAGGTCTCCGACTACCAACACTGTTGGAGCGGAAGCCTCCCAGTATGGGGCTGGACGGGGAAGGGCTTTGACCCAGCCCCCTTTGCCAGAGCTAAAGGCAAGGCCCAGGCTCAGGTGCTGGAGGGGCAAGGGGACCGACCCTTCCCTTCTCAGCACTCTCCTCCCTAAACCAGAGCTGGGGCTCAGCGTGCACCCCATACTTCTTGGTATCGAAGTGAGTTGGGCAGGAGGGAAGGCCAATCGCACCACGCGTGCCCCTGGGGCCTTCAAGAAAACACTCCGCCTCCGCTGCAAAGCCTTAGGAAGACACAGAAAGACCCCCTTCCCTACACCGTGTCCCCAGTGGCTGGGACCCACCCCTCTGCAATCTGTGCTTCCCCATAGTTCCCTCCGGTGGTCTTGGGCGTTGGGTGGGCAGGTAGGAGTGGCAGGAAGCAGTAGGGAGACCGTCCTAAGCCCTGGTGGCTGGGAGTGGTCTCCCCTCAGTGGGAGAGTGAACCGCCTTCTCCCAGCACCCCCAGCACAGGGCCCTGAACCCGCCCCACGCTCACCCAGAAGACAATGTTGAAGCCAAACAGGAAGTATTTCCCGCAGCAGCCGACCTCGGGTTCCTGGAAGTGCTGGTGCTTGCCGGGCATGGTGAGCGGCCACCCGCCGGCTGGGTACCAGGAGCTGAGGCCCAGCCCAGCCCTCCTCGGGCAGCCCTGGGCTAGAGCCACCGGGGGCCTAGCCCGGCGGCTGCGGCTTCATGGCCAAGGCCACACAAGTCCTGTCGGGCCCTGCCCGCCCCGTAGGGACCGCCCCCGACTCCAGGGCTGCCCGGCACTGAGCCCGCCGGGTACCCTTGGAACCCCTCCGCCCCTAGGCCTGGCTCTGCCTCTGCCCCCACCCGGGACTCCGCCCCGCAGCGCAACTCACTGGCCTGTGAACCCTTGGGCCGAGCCCCGCCCCTGACCACGGCCCCGCCCCAAGACACCTCGGCGCCCCGCCCCCCGCTTCGCTGCCCGGGCGCGCGGGCCTCCGCTGAGAGCGCTCGGACGTCCTACAGTCAGGACTGTGGCGCTCGCTAACGGCAGCGCGGGCCACGGGCGTGAAGGACTCCCCAATTCCCCCCCACCCTGTGAGGCTCAGAACCCGCGCCCTTGGACCGCAAGCCCCGCCCTTGCTGTGGGAGCTCATCTCTGGAGAGCAGTTACTGCGCTTGTGAGCAGATGGGAATGGTGATTCACTCGCGTTCTTAACACACGTGCAGACGTTTTATTACAGCGGAGCCCAATCAGACACGCGGCCCACTCACCAGAAATTCAGCCCTTCCTGTACTGGCTCAGACTCGGGCCGGGTGACTCCTGGGTCTTGTGAATGCCGCGCCAGCTGCTCCCTGCCCCTTCAGTTTTTCTAGGGGCACTCGCCCCACCCCCTGGCTCAAACCCTTTTGGCGCTGGTAGCCCCCCAGTTTTATCACTCTTCCGCATCCCGGCTTGGGCCTGATTGGGCTCCTGGGTATCTGGGAGTCACGCACGGACCCCTCCCAGGGAGGACTGGGCCAGATCCAGTTTCTGAAGGAAATGAATCATACTTAATGTTAGAGCCCTCCTTAAAAAGCATTCCAGTTTTGTTCAAAAGAGTATTTATTTAGAACAGAAAGAGTGTGTTGTTTCAGCTTCCTCAAGTTAATCAGCGTCTAGCAGGACCAAGTTGAGGCTGGATCACCATTCTACTCTCCCGGGCGGGGCCTCGTCTACTGAACTCCACTTAAGCCCTTAAGCCCCGCCCTGCGGCCAGGAAGTCCGGACAACTCAGACTACAGCTGAGGGAATAGGGAGAGACCACAGGTGCTGTCTCCCTCCTCAGCTCCCCTCATATCCCTCCTCTGTGAGATGGTGTCTCTAAGCCTCCAGGCTCTGGGTTTGGGGGTGGGGGGAGGGGCACAGCCCTACTCCGGGAAGGTAGGGGGTTCAGGGTGGGCTCCAAGGGCCTATCCACAAAGGTTTTTCAGCAGAGTGACCACCGAGAGGAGAGGCCCCTACTCCTGCCCTTGAACTCCAGCTCTCAGAGTGGCAGTGGCCTTGAGCCCACACTCCCCTGGAACAGAGGGTTTGGCCCTCAGGCCCCTGAGCTAGCCCCCTTTCCCTGTCGGTCCCAGGTAGGTGCAGAGTGAATACGGGATCATAGGCTTTGCTCCTGTCGCCTTTCTACCTGCTTGTCATTGAACCCTCCTTCACCCAGTGACCCATCCCCCCCCCCCCCACCCCTGGGTGAAAACAAGGAAACCCAGGGGTTCCCTCCAACTTTCTGCTGCCCTGGGTCCTCAGCCTGCATACACACACACACACACACACACACACACATGCACACCCCCCACCCCCCACAGAACAGCCCCTAGGCCTGGGCCCCAGCTCATGTTAAAGAGCGTTCGTGTTCACTCCAGACCAGGTTCGGAGCAGCCCTCAGCCCTCACCCCAGGCCTGCCTGGGACACTTCCCCAACGCAGTGGTCAGGGGCTCAGAGGTGTCGAATGGGCTACGGAGCCCAGGCTCTCTCACACCGAAAACTTGCTCTTGGCCAGGGTGTTGCCCTCGGCCAGGGTCTTGTTCTTGGCCAGGGTCTTGTTCTTGGCCAGGGTGTTGCTCTTGGTAGCTGTGTCTGCATGGGCCTGGTACCCAATGATGGTCTTTGTGGAGAGTCCCAGACGCTCTTTGTAGACACGCCTGAGGGGTGAGCAGGCGAGGAAATGAGACGGGTGGGCAGTAGCCGGTCCTGGAGATAACCTGGGACCTCCGAGCCTCTGCACAGAGCCCCTAGGCTGGTTCCCACCCTAGGCCCTCCCATGCTGTGCTTGAGCCATGTGGAAACCCAAAATAGGAAAATAGGACTAATGTGACAAACAAGCAAAAAAAAGTTCTGCTAGAAGTATTTTGAAATCTAGACCCTGAAGCTTTTATACATGTGGGTAAGGCAGAAGGGAGAGGTGGCGGGGGGAGTTCCAGAGGTTCCCCCCCTTACAGACCGAACCACCCCTATTTCGCCTTTTCCCCCAGAAGAGCCCCAGCCCCACCCCTGCCGGGACCACCCTCACCCGATGTGGAGCACGGCCGTCTGGTTCTCTGCCTCTCGAGTCCACACTGCAATCTTGTCTCCCTTGGCCCGGATGTTGACGACAGCCCCACACACCTCCCTGCCGAACTCCTCAAAGCTCTCCCCAATGAGACATATCAGCTGGGGCCAAAAGGGGAGGTGATGAGACCTCCAGCTGCGGCCCAGGAACTGCACCCCCCACCCCCGAGACCACTGCCACCACCAGCCCGGTACTGACTGCCCCTTCCTTTGTGGGACCCCCCCGCCCGGCCCCACCACTCACCGTCTCCAGCCACAGGCGGTCCAGCTCGATGTGACGCCGCTCTTTGGCGAGGCTGATCAGCCAGCGGCCACCCCGCTTATTCCGGGCGTCTTCCCATGTGGGCTCGACGCCATCCTGGGAGGCCAGAGGGCAAATCAACTGCCTTTGTTCAGAGGGAAGTGGGGGCCCAGCCACCTTCTCCCAGGTCCTGCTTCTGCCCCTCAGGAGGCCTCACGGGCCAGGCTCTCTCGCCTCCATCCCTCAGCACAGGCAGGTGCCACTGCCAGCCGCTGGGCCTCAACATTTGTCACCTGTTACAGCCTTTCCTATGTGACAGGGCACAATTCCTTAAGACGAGGGTTCGAATGGGGGTAATTAGCAAAGTTCCTGGGCAATCCCAGTGGGGGCCATGGCAGATACCCCAAGCTCGGCTGGCACAAGTTCACCTGGGAAATCTCCAGGACACTGATGTCAGAGTCCCCGCACCCCCTGCCCCCATACACATCTGCTGAGCCAGCGCCCCCTGGAGCTGGTCTGGGCCTTAATGAGCAGTGTCCATGGGCAATTCTGATCCAGGCCAGAAACCTCGGCTCCTTCTTTGTCCCCCCACTTTTCAGGTTCCCCAATGGTCCTTCCAGGTGCAGCTCAGGCCTGAGGCTTTGTCCAAACTTCTCTACAGCATTTCCTCTCTTGTCCTGGGCACCCCACCCCCAGCCCCCTGTGAGGAAGAGATGCAGCCGACATTGGAGGGAATCAGACCCCACGCCCGCCCCTGTGCCCTGGGCGGCGGGAAGCAAAGCTTACCTTGAACAGGGCGTAGTCACAGCCTGCAGAGAGCTTGCTGGCCAGCTTGATGTGACTGTACAACCTAGAGAGAGTGACCGACCCCAGGCTGCAAGTCCAGGCTTTTTAGGGCCTGGTTCCGACTGGCCTCAGTCTCCTCAACTTTCTACCAGTCCCCACTGCTTTCCCCCCACCTTCTGGCCTCCAGCCTTTGGTCACATTGGTAAGTCCAGGTGGAATCCCATCCTCACTCACCCAAACCCTCACATCCCAGGAGCCTTCCCTGACCATCCAAGCCTAGACGGCAGGTTTTTAGACAACCCCTCTCCAGTGTGGGGGGTTTGTTTCTGATGCCCCCTCCAGCTGGCACCCAGGACATCTCACCCCCTCAAAGGTTTGCACAGCATTTTTCCGGTCCCCCCCCGACCCCCCATGGGCACTCTGAGGCAGCCTGATCCTCACTTTGTGGTTGAGACAAGCTCAGACAGGGAAAGGAACTTGCCCAGGATCACAAAGTGTGAAGTAGCAGAGTCTGGGTCAACTCCTTGCCTCTCCCACTGCGCAGGCTTTCTCCCTAAGTCCCAGGAAGGTTCCATGGGGTCTGTGCCCGTCCCAATGCACCCTGCAGAACCCCCTAAGCCCCAGCCCTCCCTAAGGCTGCCAGGCCCCAGGGGGGTGCTGGGAAAGCTGTTCAGGAAGCAGCCGTCCAGAGAGATGGGGTCTGGGGATGGTCCGGAGCTCAGAGTCCCCTGGCCCCAGCTCTGCCACAAGGGGTAGACACTCACGCCCAGAAGTCCTCCACTGTGTCAAACTTGGTGATCTGATGCAGGTTATCGCGCCAGGCCCGGCTTCGGTCGTTCTTGAAGAACCACAGAGCCCACCTGGGGGGAGGGGTGGCCAAGAAGAAGTAGACAGCCCCCTGCGCCCACCCCCAGTAGCAGCTGGGCTGGCAGTGCGGTCTCACCCCTGTAAGGACAAACTGGGGGCAGGATTCAGGGTACCATCCCCCCAAGGCAACTGCAGTCAGTTACCCTGAAGGTCCAGGGTCCTGGAGCAGAGGGGGAGGCATTTAACTCAGAACCCCAGTCAGGTTAAGGCTGGGAGGGGCGACAGGACCCAAGTCTGAGGCCAGCTCTGGCCCTCCCCAGTGACGAACTGGCGTCAAGATGAAGGGGGCGTCCCAGGCCTCGGGGGGCTGCCCTACCTGCTCTGCAGGGGGTGCAACTCCTCCTTGACCTCCGCTGGGCCTCTGCCCCGGGCCCTCCTCCTAAGGGACTGCAGACCGGTGGGAGAGTTCAGAGCCTTCTCTCTCATCAACGCTTCTGCTGGTGCTAGTGCTGCCTCCTCTTCCTCTTCCTCTTTCTCCTCCTTCTCCCACTTCAGGACTTCACCCTCAGCCTCCCCAGCCTGACCAGAGAACGGAGCTGGGGCGGGCGGGGGGCAGGGAGTCCCGTCCCCGCTGCAGGAGGGGTAGGCAAGCGGACTCACAGGACTGGCGGCAGCCATGCCACAGCAGCCTGGGCTCTGAGAGGGACAGAACACTTGAGAGCCCCCAGCTGCTGGCTTTTAACCCACCAGTGCCCCGCCCACATCCCGCCCCACCTGCCCAGGGCTGGGCCGAGGGAGGAGCCAGCATGGAGGTGCTTAGAGGGCGAGGGGTCCGCAAGCCTTTGGTGAGCACCTTCTGCCTGCAGTCTCGGGGCTGGGGACAGGTGCGCCCAGGCAGACTCAACCCCGCCCACATCACGCTGGCCCCGGGCTGGGAGGGGGCTCTGAGACAGGGGGTAAGGGTCAACACTAGGGGTCTGCCCTTGCGACACTGCACACCCCCCGGGTTGTGGGGGCTGAACTGAAAGCAGACTGTCCCAGAGCTGGCAGAAGCAGTGACTGACGCAGCCAGGGCAGGGCTCTGCCACCATTCGCCTCCTCAATTTGGCCACCAATGTCATGTCACACAAGCATTTATCTGGTCTCTGGAAGCGTCTGCGTTTGTGGTAGAAATAATCCTCCAGAAACAGGGAGATTGGAGTAAAGTTTCACTTTTTTTTTGTTTGTTTGTTTGTTTCTCTTGAAAATTTGGGAAGGTCTGGCAACACTGGGCTGCACAGGTCCTCCACCCACTGCCGCTGCAGCTGCCCCTCTGGGGGCGCACACAGGCCTCCGTGAGACCCCGCTGGCCCGCCGCACTCCCAGCCAGTCCGAGTATCCCCCCCTGGGCTTGGCCGGCGAGGGGCAGTGCCACACAATCAGTGTTCAAATCCCCTCTGCCCTGACTTCAGCCAACTTACTGAACCTCACGGAGTCTATTTCCCCATCTGTCAAATGGGAAGGTTAATGAGACACAACTCCAAAGCTTGTTGTATTAAATGATATAAAACACAAGAAGCCATCCTGGATGCTATGGCTCAGTGGATTGAGTGCTGGCCTGCAAAACAAGGGGTTGCTGGTTTGATTCCCAGTCAGGGCACACGCCTGGGTTGCTGGCCGGGTCCCAGTGAGTATGCACAAGAGGCAGCAAGAAACACACTGATGTTTCTCTCCCTCTCTTTCTCTCCCTCCCTTCCCCTTTAAAAATAAACAAACAAAATATTTTTAAAATAAAATAAAACACAAAAAGCCCATAGAAGGCCTGATTCAGAACTCAATAGGAATCGCCTGAGCATGGTCCTCGCTCATTTGGTTAGAGCACAGGTGACCAACAGGCCCTGGGGCCAGACCGGCCTCCCCCTTGTTTTACCCGCCTGGGTACCTTGGTTCTGCCCGGCAGCAGCGCTGAGCTCCTTGCCTCTAGTTAAGGAGCAGTTACATTTACACAGTCCTAAAACTACATTCGGCCCTTTGAAGGCAACCAGGAGGCTGATGTGACCCCCCACCCCCGCCAGTGAAAATGAGCCTGATGCTTCGGGGTTACAGCATCATCCGGATACGTCAAGGTTGTGGGTTTGAGTCCCTGTAAGGGCACATACAAGAATCACCCAGTGAATGCACCAGTATGTGGAAGAACAAATCAACCTCTCCTCTCTCTCTCTCTCTCCTCACTTTCCCCTCTAAAAATCAAAAATGAAAAATTTTAAAGAAAGAAAGAAATCACCTGGGCTACCTCCAGGGTTGGGGAAGAACTGGGAAGGGCAGGGAAGGGAAGGCGGGGGGAGGGAGCTGTGGTTCTGAGCGAAGGCTGTTTCCCAGGGGGCTGGTGCCTCCCCAAGTTCCTTAAGGTTCCTCTCCCTCCCCTGGCCACTTTCAGGGGCCCAGATCTCAAAGGGGAGCAGTCCCTTCCCCCTACCGCACCCCCAGGGAAGCTCAGGACCACCTGGAGGCTGGCGGTCAATATGTATTCGAGGCTCTTCCCCACAAAGTGCCAGGTATGTGCCAGGAACGGGCCTGTGTGCCCGGAGGCGGTGAGCAGCAACCTCCGGGCCGCCGGTACCCTAGTCTGCCAGGGAGCCAGACGCCCGATCGTCCCGCGGGGTCTGAGACCCCGCAGGCAAGGGCCTCGCAGGTGGAGAGCATCCAGCCCTCCACTTGAACTGGAGCTTCGGCGCAGCTCTCGAGTGCCTGGGTCTGAGCTCCTGCAGGGCCCCTTCAACAGACCGCGGGGCCCTGGCTGAAGTCTGGCTCCTCGGCGCCGGGCTCCGGCCGGAGAATTAGAATTTCCCGCAGCTTCCCTGGGGGCGCCGGTCAGGGACCCCACCCTGAGAACCAGAAGCTCGGAGGCGGTTCACCGGGGAGGTGACGTTTGCGCGGACAGCTGCCCGGGAGCGCGGGTAAACCAGGCGGCGGAGGAGGGCCCCTCAGGGGCGCAGCGGCAAAGGCGGGGGGCAGAGGGGCGTGGGCGCTGGAAGAGGCGGTGAACGACCGGTGCGGGGAAGGAAGGACGGCGAGTCTCGCTCCCGGGGAAGTGGGGAGGCCCCGAGTGCTGAAGCCGGGACAGGCGGGTGATCCCACCGGCCGTCCAGCAGGTTCCCGGGTTGCCGCCTCGGGTTGTAGCCTCCTCCGTGGCCGCAGGTGCGCGTGGCGGGAGATGGACCAGGACGCTGACGTGGTTGCCCAGGCGGCGGATTTCCGAGGCGTTTAAAAGGAAGCCTCCGGGGCGTCTGGTGCAGGACAGGCTCCGGACCGGCGGGGCACGGGGTCCCAGCCACCTGCTGCTGCACAACAAACCGCCCGAACTTAGTGGCTTAGAGCAACACTAACCACTTCTTTCGCTCACAGGCCTGCGATTTGGGGGAGAGCTCCGCAGGGCAGCTCGGCTCCGCTCCCGAGCACTGTCGGGCCGGGGCTGCCGGCCGGCTCCCTCCCCCGGGCAGCTGATGCGGGCTCTCCGCTGGAAGCCCCAGTGGGGGTGTCGCGGGGACAGCTCTCCCCGGCCTCTCCAGGAGGCCGACTCACTTCCTCACAATGGCCGGGTTCCCAGAACAAGAGTCCCAAGGGACAGGAAGCAGAAGCTGCTAGTTTCTTTTTTTTTTTAATTTTATTTTTAGAGAGAAGAGAAGGGGGTGGAGAAAGAGAGGGAGAGAAACACCCATCCACTGCTTTTTGTGTGCCCGCAACCAGAGACCCAGGCCGCAACCCAGGCATGTGCCCTGACGGGGAATCGAACCGGCTATCCTTAAGTTTGCCAGACCACGCCCAATCCACTGAGCCACCTCGTCAGGGTAGAAGCTGCTAGTTTCGTAAGGCCTGGGCCCCAAACCGGCAGAGCACCTGGTCCACTGTTGAGTCCCGGGGCCGACACTCCACGGTGGGAGCATCCTCCCGCCCCGAGGGGAGGCGTGTCCGAGATGCTGGACAGAGGAGGCACCGGAAGAAGGCCAGGCTTGGGGAGAGATCGTAAGTCTAGATTTGATGAAGGGAAATGGAGAAAGTGAGGGAGGATGGTTAGTAGAATTTTTGAAGAATGGGAAAGGGAAACTGAGGCAGGCGCTTAGACCAATGGGGCCGAACCGTCCGAGGCGTTTCCAGCCAGCTGGTGAGTCCCAGGATCTCCTCTCCCCTGACCCACTGGAGGGCAAATGGTTCCCACCGCTCTTCCCTAACCAGAGAGTAAATCACTTAAATCCCCTGGTCGGGAGGGAGAGAACAGAGGCCGATTTGTGCCATCGGTGGGTGAAGTCAGGGAAACAAAGGACAAAAACCCAGTCAGAACCAAACAAATCCAAGACGGAAGTGAAGCTGAGCAGAAAGTGACCCTGGTCCCTCTAGGCGCTCATTTTTGATACATCGGCACATCAGAGAACACACGGGGAAAGCTGGCGAGTACTCTGCTGAGACCCGCCCTGGATCCCACCAGCCGAAGAGAGAGAAAACCCCTGGAAACAAAGGATGCGGGCGCTCTCTGGTGCACACCCATGCCTTCTCTCTCTCGGGTGTGAACTCTCTCCTGAACTCCAAGGGTCCCCACGGGACTTGCACCCAAGGTGGGGGGGGCAGGGGGCCAGCAGCTCCTCTCCGACTGAGCCCCTGACCCTGTCTCCAAGGCCCCCTTCCCTCCGACTTCTCAGGGAGTCCCCACAAACTCGCGTGGCTCACTCCCTTCCTTGGACCTTTCTGGGAAGCCAAAGCAGCCCTGCCTCAGCTCTCTCCTGATGATTTAATAGGCATACTCTCAAAATCACCTGGGCCCTGGCAGGTGCGGCTCAGTGGGTTCAGCGCTGGCCGGCAAACCGGAAGGTTGCCCATTCAATTCTCAACCCAGGGCACATTCCTGGGTTACAGTCAGGTCCCCCCAGCCCACTTGGGGGCTGGTGAGAGGCAACCAATCAATGTTTCTCTCCCTCTTTCTCTCCCCCTTCCTCTCTCTCTAAAAATAAATAAATAAAACCTTTTTTTTTAAATCACGGGCTTGTGTTGTGAAATCTTTCGTGCACAAAGGAACCCACACACCACAGATGGGCCGGAGGCAAACTTGCACCAGGCTCTGTCCCCTTCTGGTGACAGAAGGACCCCCCAAACTTCTGGGCATGGGCTTAGCTGCCCAGCGTCCTGGCCCAGAGCCTGGCATGGAACGACCCTGCCGGTCACAGTACGCCTTCCCACCATCGTCCTCGCTTTCCAGCTGGGTGACTGAGGAGACACCAGCGTCCTGGCCCCTACCCGAGGCCCTTTCAGGTCATCCTCTGGGAACATCACAGTGGAGATGAATGAACAGGAGCTCCCAGCCCTGCTTTTCTGTCCCTAAAATATCTGGAGCCTGCCACTCCCCTCCCTCCCCAGCACCGCCTCCACGCCAGGCCAGCCCTGCCCTCCCCAGCCAGGGCCCCCGCCCAGGTCTCTCCCAACACTTCCGAGCATCCACTCCTGACACTCGGATGCTTTCCACGCACCTCAGAGAAATCATCTGAAATAATAATCTGATCACTCAACTCCTCTGCTCAAAGTGCTCCGGGATCTCTGGGACACGATCCGGAGTCCAGGCCCCCACGTCCCCCACCAGGCAGCGCCCCAGCCACACTAGTCTCGGGCAGGCCGGACCCCTCCGCCTCGGGGCCTCTGCACCTCGCTGTGTCCG